GGGACTATTTTAAACAGCAAATTCCAGTTTGTCACCATTGTTCAACGGCCTGCGTAAAAGCTCTAATTGCGTTACATGCACTTTGTGCCGGAAAACCGGCTGCACGGCACTAAGAGTACATTGGTCGCATACAATGAAATTTGCGTCTCCAACAAAAATTCGAACGGTTTGTTTAGGCCCCTGAACTTTAGGGTATATGACTGGGACCTACTTATGTACTCCCGTGGTCGCATAATTAAGCAATACTGGAATTCATTTGTTATCCTTTTTATCATATTCCGAAGGACTGATCCAGATTATTAACATTGATCTGGCTTGAGTACAGGTCAGAGTAAATACGTATGTGCATATGAATAATATTTAGTTGTATACTACACAGATATACGTATGTACATATATATAAATATATATATATATATACTGTATGTATGTACGTAGGTATGTCCTTGTACATATGTATGTATATTAGAGGTTTACGCCGACAGGCTTTGCGGCGGCGGCGTCGTCAACTTCGAAAATAATCGGCGGCGGCGGCGACGCCGGCGCGTCTGGAAACGCCGGCGCTACTGCCCATAAGACAGATTCCAAAGAGCCAGGAGGCCTCTAATCTTATTATGTCCTCTCGTCAGAGTTAGGCATTCGCCATGCCAATTCAGATTATAATTCTATTTATTTCATTTCATAAGTTTAAATTTAAATATTGTTACTTCCTACTTGAATTAAAATTTTGATGGATGGGCGAACAGAAGAAGGTCTGCGGTATATACATTAGACTGCATCATCAAAAAAAGTTTTCCCGCTGGTATTACAAAAATTTTTTATATTAAAAGACGTCCACCAAAATATTTCGGAAAAATATTAAGATTTAAGCGAGCTGGATCGATTTGAAAATACCTCCAAAAATGGAGTTTTTTATGAATAAAAATAGTTTCTTAAAGAACTTTGTGAAAAAAGCTCCCTCAGATGACAAAACAGAATAGGCTTAAAAAATCTGCATAAAAATATTTAAAAATCTTTTTAACGGAATCGTAATAATGAGATTTTTGATGCTGTTTTTTTTACTTTTTTCAAAGATTGATTTATGAAAAACATTAATAACTGGGCCAAAACTATTCTGATTTAGTCTTATGGAATCTCGGTAGAAAGGTATGCTCCCACTATTTGTATTTATGTGCAAAAAAAAAATCATTCGTGTCCCATTTTTTTTCCAAATACCAACACAGCTTAATTCAACTTTGAATGACGTTCGTTGATCCTACCTTTCTCTTTCATCCTTTAAATGGGCTTATTAGCAAAGAAATAAAAAGGGTGAGGGTGAGGGAAAAGGGTGATTCAAGTTTTCCTTATACTAATCATTGAAAAAAGTTAAAATAGCATTAAAAATCTCATTATTACGAATCCGTTCAAAAAACTCCATTTTTGGAGGTATTTTCAAATCTGTCCAGCTCGCTTAAATTTCAATATTTTTCCTAAATATTTTGGTGGACGTCTTAAAATTTAATAGATTTTATAATTCCAATGGAAAAACAGTACCGATTTTTTTTGTATGGGGAGTGATACAGTCTAATATACATACATACATGGTTCTCTATGTTCTCTATAGATCCGTATGTACTATTAAAATTTAAACAAATACAAAAAATTTAAAAAGTTAAGTTATTGGAGTAATTTATGTGGCTATGAATAAATTTTTGTAATAATCTTATCTACCGTTATGTTAAATTACGTATTTCTTACGATCTTTTGCGGGTTATAGATTGAAAACTTGGATGGTCTACTATTTTCCTACAGTTTTATCCATCAACTCCCAGCAGAACATGCCTCTTTGACCCACTGTTTAACAAATGGCTTATAGATGGTTAAAATTTCTACTAAAATATTAAGCGCCAAATTTTCCTAAGAATAACCGAAATTAATGAAATATGCTGCCAATTTCCATCAAGAAGGGGAACCTTCCTGCGGTTTGACCATCACTTGTGAATGCTAACATAATTTTCACACAGCCACCTAGTACTTGTATACGTCTGTGGCACCCTAGAATAAAATAACTTACTTATTTAAAATCTGTTTAAAAAGTATTAAACTCTTTATTAAAGAAAAAAAAACACAAGAATACAAATTTGTTTTTGGTTTTATCTCCAATAATTGAGGAGTTAGATGCAGTAAGGATACTTCTGTTAAAACTGCTTTCTGAGATATTATCGTTAAAGTTTTTGGTGTGTGACATGATACAAAAATAGAAGGTAGTTTCATTTATTGACATTCGTTGTTGTTGCCGACCACTTGACTTTTAATAAGTTTATGACATTTCATTAAAACCATGCTACCAGATTCACTAGCAGAAAAATTTTTGTTTCTTGAAAAAGTAAAAAAAAAAATTAAGTTAGTGAAGTTGGATGAAAACATTAAAAAGTCTTGCGCGCTTTCAAACTGAAGGAATTTGATACACCTGTGCAAATGTTCGAAAATAAAGTTTTTTGGATAGAGGATAGAGTACGTAATACGATTTAATGCAGTTTGATGACAAATTGCTGACACAAAATATTTCTAAACCTCTAACCGATGTACCGTTATCCGTGGAAGAGGGTGGAGATCGAGTTAAAATGATGCCATGCAACTTTTAACAGTACCAATTTTGGATTCTCGGAATTTTCTGTTAAGGTGTGGCGCTGCTCAAAAATATATATGCATAAATATAAGCAAGAAAGCAGGTATTTGTGACAAGAATTATCCACATAAGATGAAAACTACTGCAGTTTCATTTTAGAAAGTTTTTGTTTTTAGACAATGGCATAAGTAAGACAGTTTGGTTACGGTTCGGATATTTGTACCAGGGTTGTTGCGAATATTCGCATTCGCATTCGCAACTGCGGAGCTTCCGCATTAATTTTAACATTCGCATTCGCTTTCGCATTCGCAATAATCAATGCGGAGCTTTTGCGAATACGAATGTTGTGCAAGTGCACCGATAAAACGTATATATGGCAAACAAAATGACAAATTGTAGCCAATATTTTTGCTAGTGGTCGTGGGAGTATTTGTGTAGCAAAACTGTTCATATTTATCAACTTAGACAAAAATGTATTTAAACTTATTATTTCTTCAGCTATATAACTGAGCAATCAATGGGCAGTCATGCAAGTGCCAACTTCTACTTGACCTTTGACGTACGTAAAAGGGAACCTAGCCTTTTTAACAATATTTTTTCTTCTTTCAATATCTGCATTGGTTTCTTTCTTTAATATTATTTTTTTGGACCAATTTTAAAAAAGCTACTAGACACAAAAAAAGAAGCTGTGCACTGCAATTCTTAACCAAATTTTCGTGATTTGCTTTTGATGCTACATATATTCGTTTCAATAATTTCAAATGGGGCTCTTTGGGGAATTTATTTTTAGCAACATATTAAAGAATAGTAATTTTGTTTACTTGTCGGGCAATATTTTTTCGGATGGATATATACTGTCCCTTCTTTGCTATTTAAAGTCAAAGAGTAAGCTCCTTCAATAGCGATTTCCAGCAGAAATGATCAACGTCTGGCTAAAAAGAGGAGCGATGCTCAAATAAGTAAGTACGTAAGTATCTGAGATTCAAATGTTTTTAAAAAACGGGGTGCTTTTGTAAAAAATAACAGTGTTCTTATCCGATTCCGCTGACAGCCACGACTTTGAAAACAGAATTTTGTTCAAAATTTTCATTCCAGGAAAACAATAATTTATTTTCCATATCCACCTATTTAGCTCGCTATAGGCACGGATTGTTCAAACCAGTCGCAGAAGAAAGTATTAAAAATGAACTACAAAAAATAAAATCGAAAAACGCTGATGAAGTTACAGATTCCCCAAATTCTGAAACAGCCAAAGGAATGACAATGGAGAACTATTTTTAAAAAGCTTTAGAAAAACCTGACACATCTGGTTTGGCTTTGTAAGCGCTGTTTAAACAACGATCTCGCCATTATGCTAGATTCTAACTGTTTCTTAAAAATACTTGACATCCGCATCCGCGGTTGTTAGCTTTTAGATATTCGCATACGCATTCGCATCCGCGGATGTCTAAAATTCCACATTCGCAACATCCCTAATTTGTACAATGATTTTGGGTTATCGTGTTCAAACCCGTGATCCGAATCAAAAAATTTTAACATATACGTCTAGCCAAAGGACTAAGCTTTAAGTTAAAACAAAGGTTTCGGTTTAAAATATGCACTTTTTTTTTTGTAAATTTGGAGGTCAATGTTGCCGAAATATACTGTGGATGGCGTAACCAGAGTTGGACTGATGAGGTTATTTTCACTAGCGCGGCCGAAGGCTACCAAAATGGAAAAGAGTACCCACTGCTGATGGCCTTACACGAGTTTAATTTTTCTTTGCGAAAATGCTAATTTTACCCCATTTTGAAATGGGCCCCGAGTGTCTGTAGAAGGGGCAAGGAGGCGAAGGGTGAATTATCTTAAAGTTTATACTGTTCTCTTTCTAGTAAGTTTTTGGGGAAACGCACCTTCCGTTTCCGCTCCCCACCAAAAAATCATTTTACAAATAACCGAACATTTCCAAATCACAACATTAAACCCTCTGATGTATTGTTTCATTGATATCAATGTGGCAAGGTAGCTCATAATTTTGTACAATATATGAAACTTCAAAAACTTATTTTTTGTCAAAAATTTTGAAATGAAACTACCTTCTTTTTGTATCATGGTGTGTGATAACTTTGTTGTTGTTGTAATAATATGTAAAAAAGGAATATTTTTGTGGTATTGAAAAAAATGTGTATGTATTCTGGAGTAGTAGTTCCTTCAAGCGATGTATTTCAATGTGCATTAATCATGAAATTTTTTTACAAAATTCCTTAGGCGCCGAACGCCGCCGCTGCGCCGATATTTTCGTAGCTCGGCGGCGGCGCGTGAGTAATGGCATAAAACGGCGGCGGCGGCGGCGTGGCTCGACGGCGTATACCTCTAATGTGTATGGAACAATAGACTGGGAATTTTCACTTACCTCCTTTTAAATAATCTGTAAGGGGAACGCTGCTATGTTGGATGCTGGAGATTAGGCCGGTAGCAAATTGATGCGATTGTAAACAACAAATTACACACTTTTTTCAACAATGAAAAATCAACAGCACCAAGTGCAATAACCACTAAAACATGAACCGAGGCAGTCCAAATTCAAAATAATAACAAGTGCAGCATTCGCTGTGATCTTTCACTGTTTGGGCCAACTATTTTCAGTCTGACGAATAAATAAAGGCACATATGTGTGTTGATATTAATATACACCCCGTGTCAAAGTTATAAACGCACTAGATATTATGTTTCACAATTTTTTTTTTAATTTTATTTAGGTTTTTCTTTATAAAAATGTAGTTCATTCTTTAAAAAAAAAGCTGTATAAATACAAGTTTTAAAGTTGGTGCAATACTAAAAAACAATCACTAAACTTTTGAAAAAACTTTTTAATCGATTTCTTATTTACAAAGGTTTTGAGTACGCACTTTTATAGCCTATTTAATTTTAGTAAAATTAAGTGCAAGCTTGAGGAAGTTAGGACTTACCGTTGATTTTTGGCAAAAAAATCTACGAACATAGTACTTTGCAGGGTTGTAAATGAATGCAATCTTATGCGACTTATGTAAATCACAATCAATGAATTCAATTTTTGAATGCAGTCTTTGACTAACGTTTTGACTAAAGACTGAAAAAATGAAGTCTGAAGTCTTTTTCTGAAGTTCGACTAATTAGTCATTTGGTGACTTCATTTTTCAGTGCAGTTACAAAAACACTTTGACTACAATCTTAACACATTTGACACTTCTAATTTTAACACGTTATTTAAAACAATTAAACCACTTCAAGCAATTCTTCAAACATTAACTCCGTATGGCCATTTGCCTAACATCATTATTGTTAATAGGTATTCCTGTATGCAAATAGAGAATGAAGCTGGAATTTTGGCCGAAGCGGAAGCCTAATATTAGGTACCATTCAATATTCAGCCGAACACCGAAGCCGAAGCCGAGCATTAACATTAAAATTTAATAATAAATCTGTGATTTTTTATTTCGTAACAGTAAGAAGTGAGGTGACATATTACAAGGCTTGGACTGCAGATGTGCAATAAGGTTTTACTTTTTTGAAAGGAGTTGCTACCTTTTAAACGATTATATTCGGGTATCAATCGAAATGGTTTTGAAAAGCTTTTTTTCTTAACTGAACTATACGAGGTTTTCCACCTGTTTAAAAAATCAAATTAAATTATGTAGAGTTAGGGCGGTTTGCACCATGTCTAGTTAACGCTAACTGGAGGTACATCCTTCAGTTAAGCACATCAACTGCTTTATCGATCACATGTTATATGATGGGTGTCGATAACGTCGATAAAGATGTTTAACTGGGAGTTAGAATTAACTAGACATGGTGCAAACGGCCCTTAGAGAATTAGGTAAGAGAAATTAGTGCCAAACGAAAGGGGTTTCAGAAAGTAGTAGTATTTTGAACAGGGTTGCCATCTGCCTGAAATGTCGAATTTAGTTGACTCATCCACGACTTATATGAAATATTAAATATGGATGCCAAACGAAAAAGTAATAGGAACTCTTTAGTTTGAACGCAAAGAATATTTTTGAGGTGTTGGAAGAGGCTTAACACCTGTTTAAAAAGTTAAATTCAAATTATTTAATAACTTAAATGAATTATTAAAATATGGGTATCAATCGAAGGGGGTTTGAAAATTTTTTATTTCTGAACCATATTTAGCGGCGTTGCCACATGTTTGAAAATTAAAAGTCCACTTAATTCATCAGTTAATTAAAATATGTATCGCAATGTCCGACGAAGGAGAGTTAACAAGGATTAAGCTTGAAAATACTTTGAAGAGGGTTGCCACCTATTTGAAAGGTCAAATTCAATTAACTAATATAAAAAGTATATGAAATATAAAAATACCATAGTAAAGCAAAATGATGTTAAGAAATCTTTAGTTTAAACTTTTTGAATGTTTTATAAGGGTTGCCACTGTTTGAAAAGTTAAATTCAAAATATGCAATAAGTTGCATGAATTATTACAAGGGGTATCGATCGAAATGGGTTTTGAAAAGGCTTATTTCTAACCTTTATTTAGGAGGGTTTCCATATGTTCGAACAAATTAATTTCCCAGTGGGAAAATGTAATGTATAAGAATCGAAAAAATTATCAGTAAAACAATCCTTTCCACATTCGAAAATGCATTTCTTCCCCCAGGCCGATGTCCTAAGAAAAGTGGGGCATTCGATTTTGTATTACATAGTATCGAGAAATGAATGTGTTTTAATATGAAATTTTTGGAACTTTTTGAATTCATTAGAATGCTGATTACATAGTTAGCAGTAATATAATCGAGAGCTCATAAGAAATACATTCTATTATTTATCACGCATGTAATGCATTACTACTTTCCCGACTGGGTTAAATTAGTTCATCAGTTTATTGAAATACATGTGTATCACAATGTCAGACGAAAGAGATTTGAGAAGATTTTAGTTTGAGAATACTTTTGAAAAGGACTTTCAAAAATGAGAGGTCCAATTAAAGTCTCTAGCCTGTAGATGTGTGATAGTGTTTTTTTAATCAAAAACTTTTTTCAGCGGTATAGGATGAGTTGTTCACGCTTGCCTGGTTATTAGCTTATATGGTTATGTGGTTATAGTTTTTATTCAGTTTACAACAATAAAATATACTACACAATAATAATTTTTAACCAGATAACCTGATAACTAGTATAATAGGCTAGCGTGAACAACCTAGATGTTTCGAAATTTGATGAAATTAAAAACCTGCACTATGCACTTATCTTCACTTAGAGACGGCTGCACGGTTTAAAATGAAATACGACACTCGAATCTCTTATAACTCTGATTAACATTTGTAAGTTTTTGAAATTCAATTTTGAAGGATGATTTTAATTTTATGTAGAAATTGACAGATAATAAAAAATCATTTTCGATTTAAATTTGGTGAAACCGGCTATTAGCGGGTTCACTAGTTTTTATTATTTTCTAAATTAAAAGAACACTTTACAAACATACATACATTTTCCATACCCGCTAAAGATCCTTGCTATTTTGAAGGATCCAATTTTAAATACTTTTACAAGCTTGTTTGTTTCTTTGGCGCTTCACTTCCCAGGGAAAGCTCTTTCTGGCACACATTGCAAATCGCAGTTGATTTTTTTCTGTTGAAAAACTTCCAAATAGCACCCATGTTTCTACAAAATCACAGCAAAACGCAATTGTATCACCTTTATGTATTTTTTTTACATGTAGAGTTCATTTTCAAAAGTGTTATGTAGACAACGAAATTTTAACTAACAACTGTCAAAAAATAATGTAACTTCGTGCCAATATAACACCTTGTGAATTGCCTAATTCTTCGGCATTTTCGGCCGAAGCCGAAGATAAAAAATCAGCCGGATAGGTATACCGAAACCAGGCCGAACCATCGGTTGGACACTAATGAATACCTTTTTCTACCACGAAATCATTAACGACTTCGATTGTACGAAAATATGCATCGCAATATAAGCGAGCCGATAATGTGTAGTTTTGAAGCCAGCAAAACGAAAAACTTTGAAAATAACTTAAAAATGCACCAATGGAAAAACCAAAGAGTCTAAAAAATGATACTTTGTTCGTCTGTCGATTTTGGAACTGGTTTGCAACTATAGAATTTAAAATTGGTTTGGAACTATCGAAAAAGGAATGCAGCGGGGGGCACTTCGTAGAACATCGCAATGTTAAATTCTCCAGGTGTTAGCATGCAAAAGGGAATTAACGCGCACTAGTCATGGTTCTAAATTCTTTAGTACATAACCAGTTCGGCACTAGTTAGTGCGTTTCCCGACGGGGTATACATACATTTGCACATACTAAGATGTGGGCATTCAAATACGCGCGTGATAAATTTTGATATGAAGTATTATTTTTAAATACGAACATTTTTAAACGATAATCAAATAAAAAATACTCATTTTTACTACGGCACATTCCACGGTAATCAATACCGAATGAAATGAAAATAAACTTAAGAATTTGAGCGTATTGTTTCTAGTAAGTAAGAGTAAATAAATCCAACTTTTAAGACTGAAAGTCGTAATTTCGAAATTAATAATTAAGCCTTAAAATGTAAGATAAAATATCATACCCGTCACCGTGGAATGACCCCTTTGCGTTATTTCCCTCAGTGTAGAAGAGTAGAAATTAAAATTAAATTGCTGACTACAGCCCAACTATACCTGATTTCAAATGACTGAGAATAACTTCAATGAGAGACTTGTACGGTTTTTGTTAAAGAAAGGTTTTTATAAAAAATTAACTAAAATTAGATAACAAAAAAACAAATTGTGAAAACTTGTCAATATGTGGTGCGTTTACAATTTTGGCACGGGGTGTATATACATACATGCATACATACATACATACATATGTACATATGCATATGTATGTACTTATACGTATATTTTGTTTGGGAGTAATTGAGTTCGGGAGTCAAGGCGGTTATGAGCTCGTATGTCGATACATACTTATACAAACATATGTTTAGTTCAACTTTGTGTGGTGGTATCTGAGCCATACGTCGGTATCATTACTTTGAGCTCCTCCGTTACGAGCAGGGGCCGCGTCAATCTCAGTGATCCCGCGCTAGCTAAACATTAACAGTGAATTTCATGCATACCAGTCACAGCATTAATAACTCTCACAAGAAGAGCAGCTTAAAAATCGTGTTGGATTTTTGTGATTACTTTTTCTCCACTTCACTTACTTTAATACAAATGTATGCTACTGTATATGTACATTAGAGTGGTCCAAACAAATAAAGTCGGAATTTCAATGCCGCCACCCCCTAGGATTGTTCTATACCGAAAAAAATATACCCCTATTTTTTTATTTTGAAATCAAAAGATATTTAGAGGTCGCTCAAAGCGCCTAAAGTTTTCTATGTATTTTATATGGGGAAAACACAATTTTTCGTAGAAATGGTATAGAATAGTTAAAAATCAATATTTTTCGATTGGAAAACTGTGGTTGTCTTCAGGAGACTTCCAGTCTTAAAACCCAATTGTTTATTTAATCATTTCTTAATATTAAAGATTTTTTATTGGTCTCCCCATTGCATTTTCTGGGGTTGCTGGTGGACTTATAAAATATAGTTACCATCAAAAAATAGTTAAAGAAAAAATTGGATATTATTATTGGGAATCTCGTGAATAGGAACCGAGTTTTCCTATCTAAAAATATTGATTTTAAAAAATTCTACACTATTTCTACAAAAAGTTGTTTTTTTCCCATATAAAATACATGAAAAACTTTGAGCACTCCCTAATTTTTTTCATTGCAAAATAAAAAATAGCGGCTAATTTTTTCGGTATAGAACAATCCTAGGGGGTGGCGGCATTAAAATTCCGACTTTACTTTTTCACATGCAATTTTGTACCACTCTAATGTACATAGCTACATACATAAGTATATCATGCATAAGATATTTTATTCACAACTTCACTCGGCGTGCATACTACCGCACTTGCACCCGTATTTGTAGCCACAAACAATGGCACACGCATGCGCCAATCTATTTACTTACATAAATATGCTACGCTTTCCACTTTTGCTACACATATACTTACATAGATATGTATGTATATACAAATTAATAAAATATATATATAGGCCTCTATAAAACATTCAGCATTAAGAAGATGATGATAATGACTGCGCTAATCAAGAGAAATTGCAACAAACCTCTACATGAGCAAGCTATACACGAATAAAATGGTTTGGACAATCAGCATACGAAAAGTATTATTTTTATTTGGTTTGAAAAATATTTACAAAAATTATTTTATCTAAATAATACTCGTACTATTTTAAGTCATAATTTTATAACGAATTATATGCATATAATACAAAAAAAAATTAATATGCAATTTGGGACAAAAGCGATAACCAGTGTGCTAGTATCAGATTCAATCCTTCTGTGGATCGCCACCAGCATTGCCGTTTTGATACAATTGTATAATTTTTGGTACTTTTCTTTTTAAATTTTGTAATTCGATACTTTGATACTTTCAAATCTTTGATCTCCCTCTTATTACTACACCTAGTATAATTTCAC